ATATAGTCCCCTTGTATTGAAGGATTCCTCAAATAATTTTATTTGATGGACGCCCTTTAGGGTACCATACAATTTTTTTCTCAATGATTCAAACCATCTATTTTTTAGGTCTTCATTCATAGATCATTCTTACAAAAAATTAGACAAATCTGAAACCGTTTCGACATCCAATTGTGCTTTACAAAATCAATGAACATGGTGCTTCAATAAAGTACTAAAATTTCAATAACTCAATTTAGTGGTCAAATGATATCGGATTCAAGTGATTTTTTGTATAGATGATCTTCGAATGAGTATCTACAAAATAGACGGTTTGGATTAGTGAAATACAATCCGGAGTGGGGCCTACAAGGGGGTCCCTCAAAGATATGTTTAGTAGGGATGAAGGCATAGTAAAGATATATATACATGGTTTATTTTGTTATCTATGTTTGTTATCGTTTGGCAGGAAACAAAGATATGTTGGTATGCGAGAAAGCCCTTAAAATCCCGCATTCAGTTGTATTATTGAATCATAAAAGGGAATCCTGGAGGAAGGCATAGCAATTCAATGTAAGGTGCTTTTATTGTAAATTTTTACAGGATTAGACTTTTACTTTCTCTCTCTCTCTCTCTCTCTCGGTTTTTCTAACAGGAAATTCCTTTGCACTGTTTTCTGACAAGTATATACTTCTTGCAAAAAATAAAGGTAGGGATTTTATTTCCTAGCACCAAGAATCTAAATCTTTCGAACCTTTTTGTGGTTTACTTTTCAAAAAGAGGACGTGTCAGAATAAGATTGGTTCATGGCAAATGAGTGCAAATAGAGGTACACCCAGGGTCTTCACATATATATAAGGAATTGCTAAGGCCCTATTTGGTATCCTACTAAAAAAAAATAAACTCAAAAATTATAATTCATTTTTAAAATATGAGTTTTCAAATACCAATTTTAAGATCTAAAAACTTGTTTGGTATTGAACTCCAAACAATTTTTAAAATCTAAAAAAATTGAAATTAAAATAAAAAACCCTAGATCTCCAAATTGAAATTTAAAAAAAGAAAAGGAAAATTTGTGAGCTTTCAATAGAAACCGAAAACATGAAAAAAATTGATCAATTTTGGGTCGGGTAGCAGGGACAGACCTATACACATGCTAACCTGGGCTATACCCCAGGTGTTGTGATCTTTTATAACCTAACTTTAATACCCAGCCCACTCAAGCGCACCCCACACACCACCACTCAAGAGCTGCTTCACTCTTCTTGACGCAGCTGCTATATCTACTCGTTCATCAGTGCCCATGCACTCAACCAACCTTTGCTCATCCAACGGTTGGTTTTTAAAAAGTAATACTCACACTCATTGAAGCTGCTCCAACTACCCATGCATGATTGGATATTGTTAGTGCAATCGCAATTAATACAAATGGCAATTTTTTGAAAATTAATACCAACATCAATTTTCTTTCTTTTTTTAAAGTTTTTGTACCATTCAAGTTTCCCTATAAAACCCACATATTTCTTCAAAATTTTCACACCACCAAAATCATTTACCACTCTTTAATTTTGCTTAATCTTTTCCTCACAGCCTACGTACCCTTACTGAGAGATTAAGCCACACGTAGTTCTTTCCTCTGTTCCTGACCTGTAACTGGTTTGTTTTACTGTAAACCTTACTCTAGGGCTGACATTTCTGGAGTATCCGAGACTCTGTTTTACGATCCATCAAATGATATACGATCCTGAAATTACCCAGATCAACAGCTCAACATACTTGAAATTGACTACGATCCAACGGTTCAAACGTATAGAACCCAGAAATCGCATACTAGGCGAGATCCGTTCGGGGTTCAAACGTTATCCGAATTAAAATCCGCAAAATCCTACGTGCTCCTGAGGACTAGGAGTTTATTCTAGGGCTGACTCTGGTCCCCACCCTACTGCCCACGCGCCGCCACACGCGCCGGCAGCGCTTGGTGCCTAAAGCGATAACACTCCGCCGGAAAAACTCTAAACCACGGCTCAAGACTCCTACCCTAAGTAAAACACCCTATTTGGAACCACTTTTGTTCTTGGACCTACCCCAAAAACTGGCCAGAAGTGGCCGAAACAGTGACCCGAAAGTCTGTTGAAACCTAACTTAAAAATCGAACGATCTACGCTTGAAATCTCTGAAATCCTACCCAACCAGCAGCTAGAGCATGAAAAATAGCTAGAAATCCATACCTCACTCATCCGATTTGGTGGCTGGACGACGGAGAACGAACGCTTGGAAGTTCTGTCAAAAACTGACCAACACCGCCTGTTTCGTGGCTGTTTCCGGCGACTATGGCGGCGGATCGAGGCGGCAAAAGGCTGGAGCTGGAAGATGGAGGTTTTGTGGTTCATTTGGCACTGTTATTGCCTGAATTGGGGGTCGGAGCTGAGAGAAAACAACTCCTAAAGTTGGCTGGTCGGGCTGTCTAACTGCAGAAAAATCTGGGTTTATAAAAACTGAAGTTCGAGATATTTACGGTTATGCCACTGCTTACGATCAACTCCTATTTGAGTACACTACGTGTCTACGGACTCATCTCGCTGAGCTCTACGCAACGGTATAACTGAAATCCCAAAAATTCTTCTCAGTCAAAAAGTCAACTTTTAAACCATTAAAATATTCTAGGGGTATAATGGTCTTTTATTGAAATAAATTAATAATTAAATATTAATTAAGGACCGGGTTGTTACAAGAAACCTCCTCCCTCTTTAGACGATCACTTGTATTAAAAAAAACCAACGGCTTTTTTCTTGTAGTTTAATGTTGTTTTTACTTAAGGTTGTGCTAGATGCATTTTGAGGGGCTCATTATGTTCCCATGTGTATTTGTTATCAATAAAATTCACTTGTGCCGTGTAGTAATATGTCCTTTTAATAGGTTTATATGTAAGGTAAATTTAGCCTACTCAATTTTGAAGTCCTGGATTCATACCTGTTGGGTAGTGGACAAAGGAGACCTCAATGGCAGGATTTCGGCTAGAGAGAGAGAGAGAGAGAGAGAGAGAGAGAGAGAAATTTAAAACCTCACTTTTTGTTTTCAATAATGGCGTGTTTTTTATTTTGTTTTGGGTGAGAGTTTGGGTTTTTTAAAAAGGAGTCTATCAAATGAGTTTTTTAAGTTTTAGACTTATTTTTTTTTTAAATTATTAAATTGGATCCAAATAATTACCAAACGGGCCCTAAAAGAATAGAAAAATATACGTGTAGCAGTGAAGAGAGTGTGCAATTTGTTTCGAGGAGTTCAAGGATATGGGACGTTTACATATATATGTTGGTTTTGGAAACCGACTTGAGATGCAGAAACAAAAGATGATATGTATTTTATTTGATATAAAACCTTGCAAAATTTGGTTTTAAAAAGTATGGAGTTTCACTAAAACACCCAAAATAGGGGCTTAAATTATAAAAAAACTCAAGCACTATTTAAACATATAAGCACATCCAAAACCCATCATTACACACACTCAAAATCCATTTATAAACACACCTAAAAAGTTGACTTTGGGGTTAATTTTGGGTGTGTTTCTATGCTTAAATAGTGCTTGAGTTTTTCTATAAATACATGTCTAGGATTGAGTTTATTTATAAATTTGTATAAAAAGTACTTCTCTTGCTCACACACTTTCTTCTTAGGAAGTAGAAGAAGAAGTGGACTTTCAATCTCCGAGGCCAATTTGGTTTAGAAACTACTTCTTATATATATTGGCCAGATATAATAAGCTAAATAGCTCTTTAATTCATCTCCTCTCTCTTTACACGCTTACAGACATCATGTCAAATCCTTGTTTTCGTCTTATTTCGACCAGCGAAGACTGCGTGACGCCTCTCCCTCCTCTGCTTCCATCATCACCTTCAATTATTGATAATCCTAGGCTTGCTGATATGTTTGGTTTAGGTTTAATGCTAGCATGGTTTGGCCTCTTTGCGGCCTTCTGTTTCCTCAAATTTTGTAATAGGCCCAATGATAACGTTGTCGATCTCGAAGCAGAAACGGATCCCCCGCAGACCTCAATGGTCTTCACGTATCGAATCGAAAGCAGCAACAACAACAACAGCAGCAATCTTAACACAGATGATGAGGATCTTCATCAGTGTTCAATTTGCTTGGAGGAGTTTAAGGACGGGGAAGAGTGTCGGTTGCTTGCTAAGTGCAAGCATCCGTTTCACAAACAGTGCGTTGATAAGTGGCTAACCAACAAGGAAAGCAAACCACCATGTCCACTTTGTCGTGCTTCTGTTCAAAGCATACAAACCGAACAAGAGAATCAAGTCGACAGTACCGCCTAGTCAATATTCAAATTTCAAAGACAGAAGAAAAATAATAATAATGTTTTTAATGTTGTGGTTTCTTTCTTCAAAATTACTTGTTAATTGGGAATTTTTTGTGGTTGTAAGTTTGTGCATTGTATTGTTACCACCAATAACTTCGGGGAATAACTTTTCTATTTGTGGTGTGTGTAGATATGTATGGGGCCATTTTATTTCATTTTTGAGTCGAAATCGTGAATATCATTCAAAACGATAAACATTACAGCCAAGTGATCAGAGAGGACAGGACCACATGAATGAAGGAAGTTGAGGTTCCATCCCAAAACCAATTGGCAATGGGGGGAGTAGCCCAACTCCTTATAAACCCAGGCTAGGTCCCTTAACATTTCAATGTGGGACAAACACTCTCAACACGCCCCCGCACGTGTGGCGAACTTTCTAGCCTAAACAAGACCAAACAAGAGAAAGACGAAGCTATAGCCAATTCCAAAGCCTAGCAAATTATCCTTCCCTTTACGTAAACCCAAACCTTTACGGGGGACAAGGGATATCCTTCCCTTTACGTAAACCCAAACCTTGATCGTCATGGTATTGTCAGTAAATTCGTTCCCCGACGGGAAGTTTTTCCATTAAGTACTTTTGCAAGGGGAAACCAGTCAATTTACAATAGTGGTGGATTCTTGCTACCACAACACCCAAAACCTCCAGTTAATTTTTAGATTGTCCTTCATTGACCATTACCCTTAAAAATTTAGGTTCCTAATAGAAAAGTAATGTATATAAAAAAAAACTGTACAGGGTACCTAACACTGGATCTCACTCTCTCATACACAACTAGTAGTTCACCATGGTAGCCGTGGCTCGGACTCTTCTACCTCCTCCACCATCGCCTTCACCTCAATCACCATCACCTACAGCACACTTAATACAACTAATATTTCGAGTAATCTTGCCTATAACCGTCATGTATGTCCTCTTCTTGTACTGGTGTAAAGGGAGAAATAATAATCCAACGAATGACCAAACCTGCGATCTTGAATCCCAAACACCGCAACAAGCCTTAAGGGTCTTCACACACACACAAACACAGACTTGCCAAGGACAGAAATATTTAGCAGTGACAAGTGTGCAATTTGCTTCGAGGAGTTTATGTTGAAATATAATCCTGTTCTGGCTGATTTTCTCATGTTCTGGCTTATTTAATCCAGTTCTGCCTGATTCGTCCAGTTCTGGCTGATTGTTCAGTTCTGCCTGATTGTTCAGTTCTG